GATAAAGAATGGTCAGTGTAACAGATGTATAGCATGAATGGGTTGAGATAAAGTAGGTCAGTGTAACAGATATATGGCATGAATGGGTTGGGATAAAGAAGGTCAGTGTAATAGATGTATAGCATGAATGGGTTGAGATAGAGTAGGTCAGTGTAACAGATGTATAGCATGAATGGGTTGAGATAGAGTAGGTCAGTGTAACAGATGTATAGCATGAATGGGTTGAGATAGAGTAGGTCAGTGTAACAGATGTATAGCATGAAAAGTTGGGATAAAGTAGGTCAGTGTAACAGATGTATAGCATGAAAGGTTGGGATAAAGTAGGTCAGTGTAACAGATGTATGGCATAGAAAGTGTTCAGAAATATATATATATATTTTTTTTTAAAAAGTTACTTGTGTGTCCTTTACAGGACATTTCAGAACCAACTCCAACATTGGGAGGGGGGAGGAGGGGCGGCTGTTTGTGATTTGACAAGTCAGTTTTACATTCGCTAGTTTGCCATCACTTTAAGAAATGTATACCACATAAAATATAATCAAATAAAGTTTTGTTAGTTACCTGTTACTCAGTGTTTAGCAGCCATTATGCTTCAGGTCTGTATAGAGGTCACTAACCTTCTTGTGCATGAAAGGGTCACATTGGTGAGTCGCATATGTAAAATGCTTGCATTCTAGAGCTGTCAGTATCTCAAAGGTGATAGTTTTGATTGCATTAATTTGAGACTGACACGTAGGGATCATTGAGTGTTTGATGTCAGTAACTCAGCTACAAATTACAGAAGAAAGATAATTCAGTATAATCATGAGATGATTTGCTACTTCAGCCATCCAGCAACATGTTGAACAATACCCAGACTAATTACAAGTACAGTTATGAAAACCTAATTCTTCTTCTGTTGTGAATATTATGTACTGACTGGTTGGAGTGATTTCTACGTATGATTGTTTCCCAACGTGGGGCCCACACCCCATGAGGCGGAGGGGGACCAATTTGATTGTTAAAGAGGTAATTCGAAAATGGACTAGTCCAGATTTTATGCTTCACTGTGTGGTGATTCTCAGTTGCTACTCGAAACTGGGTAAACGTCCAGCATAGGTCACTTCTGTCCACCATGTTCGTAGTCATGATTTCATTATTAGGTGCTGGAAGCGGTTGTTGTTAAAAACCGCCAGAGGGAAAATGTAAGTTTCTTCAGTGAACAATTCACTTTTTGAATAGTTAAAAACTATGTGTACGTTACAAAGGGGGCATACGAATTTTAGAAAGGCTTAGGTGGGGCATGGTACACAAAAGTCTGAGAAAAATCGGTTTAAAGCCAGCTCTTGTCAACTTAGCCTCCTTGAACTTGTTCTTTTTCTCAGTCATCTAGTGTTCCCCAGCTGTATCTCCTGTGGAAAGTTCTGGTTGTTTGTCCACTTCCTAAACTTGGTTTTGTCCAGAACTGAGTTTTGCATGCACATCCACTTTTCAAATGTGGCTTATTTGTATGCAGACTGTTGGTCCCTTTTCCAAGTCTTCACACGTATGGGCACAAAGTGCCATACTTGTATTTTTGAGCCGAATCGGCACTTCACAGATAATATGGTCGAAGATCACGCTGGCCACTTTTACTTCCAGAACTTTACCTGATACCCACTCAAAGGCTTGGTCGACCCAAGAGCCAAAGTCGTTTAAAAAAAAAAATTCATTTGTCATTCATGATTGTGGTTTTGTGAAGCCGAATAGTTATACTTGTTAGAAGTGATATTTTTTTATGATATATTATGTGCACTGACGTATCACATAAACAAGTTGTTACTGACATACTCAATTCTAAGACTTTTGTAACTAATCTCAGGGCTTGAATGACAGAAAATGGCAGTCTGATGAGTACTTTCACAAAAAGTAAACCAGAAAATCATGTTTTTTTTCTACAGCAGTATGAACAAACAAAATTAGCTTTGCAAGTATTAGACATTAACTTATATTTTTTTTTTTTTTTTTTTTGGTACCAAACCAAATAGCAATTTCAAGATTAAAATATTGCATAATCTTGTACGTAATCACTACGGAGCTGTAGATCAGTGCCCCCCCCTCCCCCTCCCTCCCTCCCCCCCCCCCCCCCCCCCCCCCCATGGCAACCCAAAAATCTATCAAAAAACCAATTTAACATTGTTTTTTGTTGTTGCTGAAATAATCCTGGATGAGTGCTCTGTGCACCTGTGAAAAAAAATACTGCAAATTCTATGGCTGTTTGCCATCTGGCACCTATAATTTTTTATGCAGAGTGATTTAACTGTCAAACTCAAAAAGCCACACACACAAAAAATATCTTTTTACCAAACCATCCATCAATGGAATTGAAACCCGGTAAACGTTGAGGATTCCACTGTGAAACGATTTTCACCAAACTCTAAGCCACAGAGCCATAATTAATCAAATCTACACTAACAGAAACATCTAACAGTACACACCTGTCACACATACATGAAAGAATCTACACAAACTAATGTAACATAAAATACTTACCTGCTACTGTCATGGCTGATAAGTGAAATGTCATCCTTTCAGTTTAGGTGATGTTTTTGATAGCAGTTTGTAAGAATTATCAGTCACAGTTACAAAACTGTTCAGAAATGTCTTCACCTTCACTTTCTGATTTATACAAATCCAGAAAATCTCCCATTGCATAAGAAATATTTCTAAACTGTTGCCACCATGCCGGATCTGATGATCAATCGATCTGATGATCAAACGTCCGCCGAAAGCGTCATCACCATGGGAGATCACCAAAAGAATTTGTTACAAATTTACTTTAAGTACCACATAATTGTTACTTTTGAGGTGACTTAAGATTGAAAGGACTAATGGCTTCAACTATGTTTATCACAGAAGTTGTAATTTTAACATGGCGGTGAGTATCCAGAGTTACCAATGCATGGGGTGCGATTAAAGTTGCCACGCATAACCATCGGCCGATCATTTAACATGCGATCATAATAGTCAATTGGTTAAGATTAGTCTGCAAAAGAGGATTATTTTGGACAAGTGCTCTGTGGTTGATATAGCCTCATGAAAACTGGTACAAGTTTTATAATTGCCTGGGAAGGAGGGAATGACCAGGGATCAGGCTGACACTCAACCCTCAGAAGAAAGACAAGATGGACCTACAAACAGACTGCAACTGATACCATCAGAATTAGATCTCTGCACTCCCCATATGGGTTCAGAGGTCCCATTTTGGAAGGAAAAGAATAGGCCCACTGCCCCACTAACAAGCATATCATTAAAGGTGACTAACTGGGAGTGTTTTCTTTTGGAGTCAGAGTGTCCTCTGCCTGAGAAGCAAGGGACGGACTGTCTGTAAAATGGAAGTGCATAGAAACCCCAAGTTCTGGAACAAGACTAAAGTCCAGAAAAGAAGGAAGAGCAAGAAATTTACCGGTGCCAAACAAGGACCCCTACTACAACTAATGAGAAGAAGATCGTAACAACAGAGAATCTTAGGAGAGCTGCTGGTGTGACAAGAAGAGATAAGATCAGGAATGAAGAAATTAGAAGAAGACTAGGACTGAAACCAGACATACAATTCATTAAAGAACAACAAATGATATGGTCTGGTCACTTGATGAGAATGCCCTGGTACCAACTGCTACAGAGAGTCACGCTGAAGGAATTTAATGAACATAGAGCAAAGGGAAGTACACACAAGAGATGGAGCGAGACCATCAGAAATGAACACTAACTAGTACAATGCATTGGAAAAAGCTCACAAACAATCCAACACCTCACTGAGGTAAATGGTGGAAGAGAAGAAGAAACATGAGAAGAACTCTGCACTGGCCCATCATAAACACTGTGTGGCACTGGGAGAGCACCAGGTAAATCATGAATGCACTGCTGGTATTTCTGTACGTGACATTAGTATTTAGATGATGAAACATCAGATGCTCTGTCTCTTGCTCACATTGCTGTTCATCCATCTCTTGATGTTATCCTTTCACTTGTATCATTGTCTACTCATGATTTTGATTTTTCCCTTTAACAGGGTTTTCTGTGTGGCTGAAATATTTCAACTATCACTTTTATTTCTTTAAAGCAAATAATTTAACAACTAGTGTTGTGTTCTAAAATTGCACATTTCACTTTATTAACAGTATACTTGTATAGAAAATTAAACATAAAGGTCAAAGAAAAAACAAATTGAAAAAAATTTTGAAACAATAGACAAACAATGTGCCGGACATACTCCTGTGTTAAATAACAATGTAACACATACATTTTATTGCCTGAAATATCTTTATTTCTCTGAACCACTTCAGGAGTAAAATACAGAATTATATCAACATACAATAATGCATGCTGGCTAATACTGTAGTATGCACCTGATGAGAGAGATACAGTGAAATGTGTGAAACTATCATCAGCAGCAAGTGCCTTGCCAACTGGCATGGGCAATCATGCCTCTCCATAATCTGTGATCTACAACTGCATGTATCTGTTCGTGTGCCGACACCCCTCCACGCCATGACAAAAGGCTGTCAAGGATCTTCTTGCATTGTCTTTCTCTGTCTCTTTTTCCACAGATCTTTTCAGTAGTCACATGCTCTAGTTTTCTTTTATAACACGACCCCAAAAAATGATGATAGTCTCTTTCTGATGTTTGTGATAAGCTGTCTTTGAGCCCTTGCCTCTTTCAGCGTATCTGCTCTTTTTGGCTGTCCAAGGAATTCTAAGGATTCTTCTGTAAAATCACATTTCCAAGGCCTCAAGAAATTGTCTGGCTTTGTTTTTAATTGCCTAGGATCCACTAGCAATACAGTGTACAGTTTATTATTGTTTCTGTTTTCTTTATCCTATTTCACAATGGAAAAAACATTGCTTTTAATAACATATTGTAAGAAAAATACAAAATCAGTGGTTTCAACAAATTGTTCAGCAAACTGCCAATGTTTAACAATCAACTGGCATTGTAAAGTGAATTAATCACAATAAACACATGCATCTCAGCGGACACTTCACTTTTCAGCAAATTCAATCATGGCTGCACTGGTCTCGTCATCAAAGTAGTCATCTTCATCATAGTCCTTCGTGCAGCAGCAACAACACAGGGCCTTGACACTTTGTCTCAGTCGAGGCATTATCATCCACAGAATAGGATTCAGTCCTGGAGGGAAGTAGAAATCTTTTATTATTTTGACAACAAACATTGATAGTCTCTGGAGAATTAACTTGCAGGACATACGGCATTAACTCATTCAGTGCCAAACAACTCATCATGTATTGACATCAGACATGATGTTTTTCTGAAATGTGTGTGTCCTACCTAGCTGTTACAGTCGTACACTTGATCCCAAATGCTTGTGGAACTTTACTTTCTAGAGGAAGAATTAGATCCACACACAATTTTATACTTCTGGCAAATGCTCAGTGCCTGTTCTATATTGAAGGAGTTGGAGAACAAGAATTTTTTAAACAGGCTAAGTTCAGTGTGCAAAAGAATAACATGAAAGTAAATACAAATAAAATTGAAGTAATGCAGATCAGCAGAACCTATAGTCCGCTACATATAGGGTTGAACGGTGCTTGTCTGCAACAAGATAAAGAATGTAAATATCTAGAAAGTATTTTCATGGTGGATGGGAGAATAGATTGAGAAATATAAACAAGACACCAGTCTTATATATCAACTGACACCATTATTAAAACATCCAAACATAGTATGACCACCAAGAAACAGATTGTTAACAGCCTATTTTGATACCAACACTGTCCTACCAGTGCCAGACTTGGACATTATCAATGGCTATCCTATGTAAAATTAATACCTATGAAATGAGATGTCCGTGGAAAGCCATCAACTTAGCAATCTGAGACAAAGTTCAAAATCATGCTACACAGAATACAGGAACAATTTATATTGAGAATACTCATTAATTGTTCTTATTTATGTGCTATTCATATTCCACTACTCATGTTAACATAACATTGATCCTCATCATCAACTTACACTTTTTTAGAATTCTTTAATGTCATCAAAACATCTCTTTAGGCGCCCTCTGATCTGATATCAAATCTATCTTGTGTTGGTAGCTGTGGCTACATTCTAATGAGATGATCAAACCAACTAATCTTCTGCTTCTCAATGAATTTGATGTAAGATCTCGTTCCCAGTCTGTCTGATAATATAATTCCTTGTTCTCTCTTGGATGATTAAGCTGGCTGCTTTCCTCATGCATTTGATTTCACAGGTTGTTAATATTACATAGGATAGTCTTTGATAAGTCACTGGGCTGGATGTGCAGAGCATGGCCAGCGGGTGCTACGGAGGTGGAAGTCCAACTGTTGATTCACGACAATTCACACCCAGGTGATCTGATTATCTATACAAGTTGAGAGGAAAGAGAAAGGTCTGGGGGGTTTGTAGCAAAAGCCAATGGAAAATCTTAAGTGCAAGAAAGCCTAGCATAGGACACCACAACCTCTAGCTTGAGAATGGAGGTAGTAACTGCAGCTCTCCGGTGTCTAGAGAACAAGATGCATACACATGTCATAACTGTAACAGACTCTGAAAGCATGCTGAGAAAAGTGAAGACAGGGGTGCTTCGAGCAGAGTGGCAAGCTTCACTGGGAAGGTCACGGGTAGAGAGCATACTGTGGATCTTTTCTCCAGGTAATGAACTGGCAGACAGATTGGCTGGATCTGCACCAATGGGTGGTGAATTGATACATGACAGGGCAGATGTGGTCAAGGCCCTTTGGGAACAAGCAACAGAATCAGTAGAGAAAGAAGATTATTATGGCCTGGAGAAAATGAGGCACCTGGCTGTAACCAGAGGGTCTGGCCAGCTCACTACACTCAGAGGAGAGGCAAGACAGACATATAACCAGATTGTGCCTGGTACCATCGGTACTGGAACTCTGCACTTGCTGCTGAAGATGCGGATGGAGCATGCATGCAACTAAACTAATAATGTCTAAGTCTGGCACTATAACGTAGCAAGTTTACATTACATTTATAATTATAATTAAATATGTGTGTACCATTTTCACTAGTTAACTAAACAATTACAGTAACAATGAAATATAGATGTATGAACATACCTGAGTTGGCATAAGCCAACCAGATTGCTGCTGTCCACCATTCATGTGACCAAGTGGTATTAAAAATCTGAGTCAATAAGTGCAATGCACAAAAAGGGAACCACATGCTTATAACTGTCAAGCTGATGACCCATGAAGTCAACACCTGTAAATGATTCAAACAGAGGCTTGATTACAAAGCTTTTCTGATGTATAAAAATACAATGTTTGTGACTGCAGTTATGTGGAGACAGTTTAGACACACAGAAGAAATTACTGCAAATATTCATGGTGTCGAGACTAGTCAAGAGAGAAAAAACCCATTTCTTCCATAGGACGTTATCTACTTAATTCAGGACACATAATTGACACAGACAGTGCTTTCCGAGTGGTTTCCAAACAGGTGACTGTTGAGAATGGCCGAAGCTTTAACAATCAAAATCAGCAACCCATTCCTTTGTAAGCAGATGGAATTTATAGTAAATTTGAAGTTACCCTTGTAAGTCACGTGACTACAGTGAGCTTCCGGCGGCCAAAACACACACATGATGTGTAAAAAAGAAACTATTAGCATTTTAGTTGGATTTATTCAGTTTTGTGCTTCACTTTATGTTGATGTAACTCTGTAGTAACACACCTGACAAAATACAGTGAAATATGCTTGGCAATAAATTGTGCAATGTATTGTTTGTGTCTGCATTATTTTAAAAGTCAATAACTGAAATAACTCCCAACATTTTTTATCTCTACTGAAATACTGTTTGAGCATTCTGACTCTGTGAAATGACAAAGGCATATAGATAGGTATCAAAACATGATCTTGAATTTAACAGACAAAAGATGGCCTATCACCAAAAAAAAAAAAAAAGCAAAAAAAGGATGAGGAAATTAATAATGTCACAAACTTTGAATACCTAGGCTCCATAATAAAAAGCAAAGGAGACTGCTCAACAGAAATAAAAAAGGAGGATGGCCATAGCAATGTGAAGATTAAACAGCATTAAAAGTCTATGATTATGATAATCGACGTAAACAATGTTCGGCGAAAATTGTGACTAAAAGAAGTGTTTATTCCTGAAAAGAATGTTCAATGTGTTAGATTAGTGTAGTTGTTCAGTTGAAGATGAATTCGCGACAGGCCCGGCAAGTCGGCGGAGGATTCAGCGGTTCAAAAAGAAATGCCCAAGATGAAAATCTGAGATGTTTTAGAAATAGGGAAAATAGAGGCCAGCAGAAGGTTAAGACCAGAGTAGGAACAATCAATATATGTGGATGGGGCAATAAAGAAGAACAAGTGATAGAATTGACACCTAACAAGAATGCCCTGGTACTATCCGCCACAGCGAGCCACACTAAAACATTACAACATGTGTAGAGCGAGTGGAAGACCTCGGAAAATATGGAGTGATGGCCAGCCTTACAGAAATAAAAATCAGTCTTAATAGTGCTCTTGACAGAGCCCATTAAGGAACATTACATCTCCACCCGACACTTCGATGAGGTACAAGGAGGAAGAGAAGAAGAAGAAGAAGAAGATTATGCACCAGCAAGGAGATCAAAGTCTAAGTGTTGGGCACATGCATATTTCCTGTAGCAAAATATGGATGTGTGAGTCAGGGACTATCTTGAAGTCCTTAAGGAAAGAAACAGGGGCTTTTGAGCAGAAATCTATAGAAAGATTCTCAGAATACCACTGACAAAGAAGAAAAGAAATACTAATTACCTAAAAGATCTGAACATCAAGGAAAATTGGTTAACCCTACCAGACCGCTGGCCCGATTTTCTATGAATTTTCTAACCTGACGCTATACCGCTGGCCCCATTTTTCGGGAATTGGCGTAGTACGTGAAAAAATAACCAGCCAATCGCCATCAGACTTGGTTGTTAGTCATTGCGAATGACTTCCCACGTGTGTTGAGATTTCTTTGTGTGGTTTGATGTGAAAAAAATTCAGAAAATTCTCAATTAACGAGCGGCTTCGACAAGAAAGTGACGTAGGTCTAGGCTTTTCACAGTCCAACAGTTGATCGATACTTTGGTGAATTCAGACTGTGAATACGTTCATGAAGAATACGTTCTCAGTTGAAGTGACACAGTCAGTGAGAGCTAGAGTGAGGAGGAGAATTATGAAAATTCTAGATTTAAAACTAGATCGATAGTAAGAGAAGGGGGCGTGTCCCTCAAACAGCAACATCTGGTGCTTACTTTGTGAAACAAGACTGATCCTACTAGGTGGATTGGCACACAAAGGTGGAAGATTGACGCTAGATGAAAGGTAAACCTATTTTCTACAATGTCTCCAAATTTAACTTATTCTAACCACTTGTTTGCATGTAACTAATATTTTTGTACATCATGTTGGTTTTTGTGTGTGTTAATGCCCAGGAGCTCAGGTTATAGGGACAGTTAGGTTCAGGGCCTCAGGCCTGGTAGGGTTAATAAATGGCATTTTCTCCTGGAAACTGAAACATTTTGGCCATATCGAGCGCCAAGGTGGATTAGAAAAATAATAGCAGAAGGCATGGTGTCAGGATAGAAAGGCAAGGCCTAGAATGGAATAGAGAAATAGACTGTGAGCTCAAAGTGACATACAATAACACAACAGGATAATGAATGAATGAATCGCTAAGTCTACTGTGAAGACAGATTATCTTCTTCTTCTTCTTCATGTTCACAGATTTTAAACTCTGGGGGTAAGATCTGGCTGTCTGTCTACTTCTGGACTTCCATCTTGTTCTAGAATCTGAGTTTTGTGTGCATATTTGTTTTACAGATCTTTCTTATTTGTATGCTGAATGTTGGTTCCTCCTCATCTTTCAGGCAGATGCGCTCCAAATGTTAAGGAAGCACTCCTAATTGGTCAACTTTTATGACATGCTTGTTAGCAGGGCAGTGAATGTAATCTTTTTTAAAATCTACAATGTGGCCTTGAAACTCAACATATGGAAAGTGATTCAATAGATCTGAACATCCTTAGCACCTGCTGTCAATAGCAAATTTCCCAAAATGAACCAATAATTTTCACCAATTTTCATGTTCAACGAGCCAAACTGCTACATTTTACACACACTCACAAGCATGCAGCCTCTGTTCTGCTTCGTGTTTGGATTTGCTGTGTGTGTTTTTTGTGCATGTATATTTGAAGGTATGCATTATCCATCCATTCTTTTGTAGTTTAAACTTACATGTGGATTATAAATACTGATAAATCAACACAATTTGCTGGACATATTAAATTCAATTGCTGTTGTAAAAGATGAGTGTTTGAAAGTACCGATTGTAAGATGGCCTGCGTGCCCAATTTGTGACCTCTTGGAAATAAAGTTTGTTCATTCATTTACTGTACTAACCTGCCAGCCTTTGTGCTCCCTCTCCTCACTGAAGTCCATATCTCGAAGATCCTCCCTCTTGTAGCACCACGTCAGGCTTGTTGCCACCAACAACGCTAAAGCAACCAAGCTGGGAACGCCATAGCAAGCAATTTCTGCAATTATGGCAAAAGTCTTGTCCAAATGAAGAAAACAAACGCCTTCATCCTCTCTGACCCCTTCCCCAGTTTCTCCGATGAGGTATAAGGGTAAAACAGTAGCAGCTCCCAGTGTCCATGGAAAAACAATCAGTGCAGCTGAGAGGACAAATTTGCAGCACCCTTCAGCAGCATCAGGGCAAGAGAACAACACGAATCTGTCAAAGATGATGGCAACCAGCACAAGAACGGACACGGTGGCCACCATCATGTCTGCCATGATCCAAATACGGCAGAGATTGTCCCCGTGGATCCACTGATTCTGGAAATGGAAGTCTATCAAGAGGGGAAGCACTAAGCCACCCATCAGCAGTCCTGCCAGACATAAGTTACACACATGAAGGTTGAAGCTAACCTGGAAAGGGAGAAAATTAAGCAGATCAATTCATCTGTGTATATGTTCTGTGTGTTTACCTATCTCTACATTATACAAATAATAATGTAATCAAGTATGCTAATCACATTTACAGACATGAAGGTTGAAGCTAACCTGGGAAGGGAGAAAATTAAGCAGATCAATTCATCTGTGTGTATGTTCTGTGTGTTTACCTATCTCTATATTACATAAACAATAAGGTAATCAAGTATGCTAATCGCAGTTACAACTTTATCGCAAACAGGTCACCCCAGAGCTGCTTCGTTCCAACGCCAATGAAAATCACAAATAATGTCCATTATTGTACCACGTTAAAACAAAAACTGACACAGACTCAGTCTTAGCAAATTTAACAGCATACATTACATTAACTGCATAAGGCAGCTATCAGAAGTGCCAACACAAACTAGTCTGACACTAGAAATTCAATTCATCATCGACAGAAGCAGCAGTTACAACAGATCAGCAAGTGGTCTCGAGGCACAGTGTCCACCTCGAGTGCTGGAGGTCCCGGGTTCAGGCTCTGGTAAAGGCTGGGATTTTTTTCACACGTACTTCTAGTAATTTGTCCTGGTCTCTGGGTAGTAAGATCAGATGCCCGTGTGTATTTTTGAGCACGTAACAAATTCCTTCTTCTTCTTCTTCTTCTTCACTTCCTCTTTTACCGCTGTGGGTGTCGAGGGAGATATAAGGTTCTGTTTCTAGCTCTTCTGGCTGCCTCGACCATAGGCACATCGTGCTGTTGTAGAGTTTCTCTGATGTTATCCTTCCATCTTGTTCTTGGTCTACCCCGTGCTCTACGTCCTTCTTCTCGTTCCATGTATGCTTTGTATGGTATGGTGTCACAAGGCATTCTCTCTAAGTGGGCAAACCATTTCACTTGCTGTCTTTGTATGTAATCCAGAATTGGTTCTGTGCCGGCTTGTTCTCTTATGATCTCATTCCTGATCTTATCTCTTATGGTCACTCCTACAGCCCTTCTCAGACATCTCATTTTCGTGGTTACTAATTTTAACAAATTCCTTGGCAGTTGGAAATCAAAAAGAGTAGCCTAACAGCGCTGTCAGGGCAAAAATTTGGAGTTAAAATCTACTTTAAGTATTTCAGGATCCTCGCCGGTGCTACGGAGTTCGTGCACTGCGCTGAGATTCTTCAGACTCAAGCGTGAGTTAGAAGTAGAACGGAGCAATTATAGGTTACCACCCTTGTGCCATGATGTTGATCCGTTGTTGTCATATTACAGAATGCAAACACCTACCTCAATGAGCAGGCCTACAGTCTGAACACCCCCAAAATCGTCATTGTAACTATGATATCGGATGGTCCGACCGTAGTTATATAGTTTGTTTATTGTGGGGGAGTCCAGATAGGAGAAATCCATATAAATCACTCTTAGATTGTTTCTTTTAGGCTTTTAGTATCAATTTACATGTTAGGACACATTTTCTACGCCTATTTAAGATTAATTGTCTGACCGCTTCACAGTATACTTGAGCCATATTCTTACACCAACTGCTGTAGATAGGGACTATAATTTTTTACGTCACTTCTTCATGGTCCGTTCAAGTGAGCGAACGTATTGCATTTTGTAGCCACTTGAACGTTAAAAAAGACAAGCTTCTTTATTCTCTTTATCCATTTGTCATGGGATTTTGGAAGATCCAACAAGCATCCGTGGCGTAGTCGTGCTCTTCCACCAACCAACACCAGGGAAGCGACCGACGTGCATTGATCAGCCATTACCGAATATGTTTGTCTATATGTGAAGTCTACACCTACCAGTCTCTGGGGAGTTGATTGTCCTTAATCAATCCCAGAAGCATTATCAATCGTGCGGAGACATTCTGGGAAGTGAGACGTGCAGATTTCCACCTTCCGGCACCCTGAGGAGCTGCAGGATCCAACCAGATAAGTTAGAGTAACATCATATAGCGGCTTGATTCCAGATGTGCCTTCATAATCTGTCTCATACCTCCATGCGATGATGAAGATTCCGGAATTGGATGTAGCCCTGTAGAAAGACTTTCTCTCTATCCTTTATTCTTCGGAGATTTGAACAATCATTCTAGTTCCTCGTGCTACTTTTAATCTTTCTTGTGATGAAGTATTGAATACATTGAAGTTTTAGTTCATAAGACTTTCTGTTCTTCGAAAGGTTTGGTGTAAGTGAATCAATTGTCGTAGTCAGAAAGGTATTCTTGTATTGTCATATTCACTGTTGTCTATATATTTGACTGTGTTCACTTTGTTTACCAGTCTGGGGGCAAATTTAGTAATGGGGATGTCTGGCCGAGAGGTACCCAAGAGTTCATAGTAACCCTGTGGAGTCAGAGCTCGAGTCACCTCATTCCTGAGACAGGTTGAATGGAAAGTTTGAACCGAAGGTTAGGCCTCTAGACGAACGAGAGCCACCATTCAAAACACCCCTGTCCCAGAGCACCTGAGGGTTTTGCGAAAATAATCCGTAAGTAAAGGTGCGCGACAAAACTGCCATACGACAGTTGTATAAACTAAATTAAATAAACAGATCAGCAGTTGCACATGCAATTAATTGCATAAGGCACCACCAGTTCTCTGACAACAGGCCACTGGCCATTTTCTGAACTTGCAGTTCACAACACAAACCATGTTAGGCAACATAAATAATGAGACGTAAGTTACATACATGATGGTTAAAGTTAAAGCTAAGCTGGATAGCGAGAAATTGGAGCAGATCATTCACATATGTGTATGTCATTCTCTGTATGTTTACCTGTCTCTATGTTTAAATAGATAACAATTCCTGGTTGCCTGGAACAGTTCTGTTGATGATATCTCTCCATGCCATCTTTTCAGCCCATCCAGCATCATCTCTCTTGGTCTGCCTCGACACCTCTTTCCAGTGATCTTTTCAGTTGTCCCAATGTTTTCTAGTGTCTCTCTTCTCTGGCCAAAGAACAGCGTTTGTTTCTTTCTTTTTGTTGTATATAGAAATCTACTTTCAATTGCTTTTTTCAAACAATCGTTGTTAGTTACTCTGGCGGTCCAAGGTATTCGTAACAATCGTCTCAGAAACCACATCTATGTTGCTTCCAAATTCTTCCTAATTTGTTCACTGACATTCCAAGATTCGCTGCCGTACAGCAGAACAGGTTTTATGTAACATTGCAGCATTCTCTTTCTGATATTAAATGAGTCGCTCATGTTACAGTAAAACCTCATTAACACGAATTCCACAGAACCAAAAATTCAGTCTGTCTTAAAACAAATGTGTGCTAACCGGGGACTAATAATAATAATTCCTACCCGCTGAACCTAGACATGTTCATGTTAAGTGTGTTTATGTTAAGCGAGTTCGTCCTAATGAGGTTTTGCTGTAGCTACTACTGCACACTGGGAACAAATACAAGATTATTTCATGTGCAATTTGAAATATGACAGAGTTGTGTGCATTTTGAACAACTAAAAGAAAGGGGAACAGACAGAAAAAAGAAAACTGATGAGAAAGTGAAAGAGAATATGATACAAGCTAAGACATATTACATAGCCTATATATATATTATTAGCTTTGTACTTCAATAGATTTTTCTTTTGATAAGAGATTCATTATGTTCATTTTAAAAGTAGAATCTATAAAATAATAGTTATTTATAACTTCATAGTTCCATAATGATAGTCCTAGAAAAACACAAACACAAAATTACATCATTTGAGATGACATAACTAGGCCAGAAAAACAAGAAGAGACAGTCACCAATATAAAAACTAAGATCAATAGTCTGAATAGAATCTGTAGATGGTTTCACTGAGTGTCAAAGAATCAAAAGTTATGGTCATCTTGTCAGAATGGAACAAACTCAGGCAGCAGCTAAAGCATACAACATGAAAACAGCAGGCTACAAGGCAAGAGGCTGACTAAGAAAGAGATGGGTGGAGGGAGTAAAAGGGCCAGTAGAGAAATGCAACATGACATTGAGACAAGCTTTGTAACTAGCAAACAACACGACAAACTTTAACTTTTCTCTGTGATGCTTTACAGCATAAACCGTAGGACAAAAGAAGAAGATTAAATGAGAAATACATGTTGTTTTGCACTGATACATGCTGCTGAGGATTGCAGTTTGTAGAGAGGAATGGTGGCCCACAAGGCTCTTGATGATGATGACAATGTTTTATATGAAATATTTGAATATGTTTGTAGTAACATATAAATATGTTTTATATGATATGTCTCTACAAATAATACAGTAATTTAATAAACATATGTTCCAGTATCCCTGTGTGAGTTCCAGGGCTCAGTTGTGGGGGAAAACAAAAATAGACCCACAGCCTGTCCAAAAGTATGTCGTGAGAGTCGACTAATTTGGAGTTTCCTTCGAAGTCAGAGTACATCTTCCTGAGAGGCAAGGAACCAACAGTCTGCATGCAAATGAGTCAGACTTGTGGAATAGATGTACACACAACACTCAGGTTCTGGAACAGGACTAGAGTCCAGAAATGGACGAATAACCAGAACTTTATGCCGGAGTTTACAGCTGGGAAACGTGAAGAAGAAGAAGATATATGTTCCAGTTTATGAAATGTGGAACTCTGTTTGCATAAATGTAAAAAATGGTTGGTGTTTTATGTGAAAGTTTGACTACATATACATTTTTCTTTTTCCCTTCCTGGTGTAGAGGTAGATAGAAGTCCTGCTTCTTGCTCTTCAGACACACTGTGCTGTTGTAGAGTTTCACTGATGTTATCTTTCCATCTGATTCCTGGTCTACCTTGTACTATACATCATCTTCCTCTTTTCATGTATGTCTTGTATGGCATGGCATCACAAGGCATTCTTTTTTAAGAGGGAAATCATTTGTATGTAAATTAGAATTTATTCAGCTGGCTTTTTACCTATGACCTTACTCTTAAGTGTATCCCTGTTGCAAGGTCACTCCTGCAATTAATTTCCATTATGATGACAATAACTTGTTTTCTACTGAACATGTGATTACACTCCAACTGGTAGCAGAAGTAGCGTAGTGGTTTACCGCTTATCTTCCATTTCAAAGGTCTTGGGTTTGAATTCCCATTGTGGTGTATTTACTCCCCCACCCCCCACCCTCATAATCATGGCTCCTAGTTCGACCAAGCCTAAAACAAGTACCAGGTAATATCATGGGAAGTAAAGGTGGTCAGAATCATACTGAACATATCACCCACATACATAACTATAAGAGTATGAGTCTAGCAACATATGTCCCCATGCCACTGATGTAAAAAAAAGTGTCTTTTGTTTTGGTTTATGTTTACAGTAAGCAGGATTTTTTTTTTATATATACAAAACAGTAGGCAGTTATGACACATATTTTAAGGCGTCATTTGTCAGCGCTACTGTAACGGATAGTGTCTAATACACAATGTTGAGTACTGGCGTCTGTTGTAGACAGGTTTTGGCGAGTACCTATTTTTTTATTCAGAAAAAAAAAAAGCCATAATAGTAAGCCAAAATGCTACCTCAACAAGCAGGCTTGTTTTCTGATCACACGAACAAACTGCCAACTAACTGGATTAAGTTTAACTCTTATCTTCTCTTACCTTTCTTCTGTGCTCACTTCTCAGTATAGCCAACATGAGAACAATGTTGGAAAATAAAATCCACACGGCCAGAACACAGCCTCCAATAACTTGAGGGGTAAACCCCCCAGCACTTGACTCTACTGGAACCTCCGTTGTTGTTTCCAT